GCTGCCGCAATCTGCGAAGCATCTACAAGCGATGCCATCGGTTCAGGCAGCTGGCACGGCAATGCCGGTTCCCCTTGCCTCCATATCCAACTCCTCTTGTTCCATTTACACCTCCCGATGGTATGGATTACAACTTGGCACTGCAAGAACACAGCTACTTTTTTGAGTTTTTTTTCCCTGATGTTGGTTGGTCACCTAGAAATGTTGGCCTAAGTGTTATTTGATATTTCTCACGACCATTCAAAAAATTGAATCTTTCCCAAGATGTACATGCCATAGTGTTCGCCATAGTGTTATTGTTCCTGGTTCAGAGGTTGCAGTTTATTCTGCTCATAGAAATCCTGAAAGTTTAGAGAACTCCCTGTTGAGAAAATGGAAGTTTTTTTACTGCTGAGTTTTGTTGTCTTAAAAGAAATTAATGCATGGTAGATTCTTTTGTTGTCTGAAAATGAAAATGTTAGCTGCTGAAATGTGACATTCAGTCAGTCTCCGAACTCTGAAGAGCCATAATTGTGCAATTTCAGGGGCCCAAAGCCAGCTCGTCTGCTTTGGGTGCCGTCCAGCCAGAGCAACGTCGGTTTGCTGCGCGGTTTGCAGTACCGTGACCGCTGTGCCTGCTCCCGGTATGCACTTCATTCACTCAGGTTTACATCTCAAGTTTTTTTTTGCAAGTAATATAGCATCTGAAAATTGAGTTTCTTTGCATCTAAATTTTAGAGTAGTTTAGAAGTTTATATTGTATCCTCCCTGTTTTATTTACAAAAATGAGTAGTTTTTGGTTTCTAGAGCAGAAATCTAGCTGCAATGTTCACAAAAATGTAAAGACAAATTAAAGGGGAATACAAACGGCTTCAGGGCTCCGCAACGGCGTGCACGTCGCGTTGATGGTGCCTGCGCTCAGGTCCCTAATCTGCGGACCTTAGCTATGTGATCCATTTTTTTGTTGCTGTCATAAGTGTTTCGCTTGTTCTGTAGGCCGCTCGCGAAGACACACTAGAGTTGTTGTTCGCATCTTCGCCGCCGTCGGTGACCGCTGCGGCCATGAAGGAGTGTGTGCTTGATGAGTACTCCACCAAGCACAGGATCTCTATCAATAGGTTTCTCCAGCTGAAGATATTTGTCAAGGTGCATGATCGGTAAGTCCTCATCCATCTCCACTAGACGTTGGGAGCTTCAAGTGCGAGCAGACTTGCCACTTTCCTGTATTAGATCAGCAGTCGATGAATATGATAATTTCAACTAACAAAGTTCGATTACCGGTGTTTATTTATGTCTTTGGCACAATGGGGGAACTCCTGATCTATCATCATAAATGCCAACTCACTGAAATTTTCGCATGGCTACTTAGTGACAGTCAATTTGATCCTAATGCAATATGTCGCCCAAATAATCTTCTAAAGTTTATTTTGATCACTAATTGGCAGATGATTTACTGTATCATAATAACATCTAATGGTTATTTCCACTCTCTCAGGGCTTAAAGGTCACTGCATACGTGAAGTGCTTGAGCAGTAGGAATCTGCATCTACCATGGATGTTGTTGCTACACAAATAAAACAATATAATTGCTGGTATTATTTTCAAATTTTGGTCCTTTTGACTCTATATTAAATTCTTTATCCATTACTGTTTCTCGATAGTTTGCTGTGAATGATTGCCTGCACATTCAAATGATATGTGGGATTAGTTTCCAGTCAGAAGTGCAAAACTTAGCTAGATCTCTCCTGATGCACAAATCTCGCTTTTTGTCCGGATGAATTCTACACATTTCAGACCAGAAAAATCTTGGTACAAGTCTTGATACAAGCCATTTAGTTATCAGCATATTCACTGCGTGGTAGCTATACTCTAAAAAATATTCCAAGAAAATGTGGTTATGCTACTGTTTAATAATTTGCTGAAGGAAATAGCAACATTGCAAAGAGATGCAAATGGTGCTACTTGATGCTGAAACCTGAGTACCAGTCATTTTAATTGAGCTGTTTGGAGCAAAGTTTTGGCTAGATGTAGTGCATAAATTAAATTTATTTTGCCGCTTGAAACTTTTATATACACAGGCAACTATTTTTTTTCTTTTCATTTCCAAAGGCTTCCTTCCGTATTAACCTTGTTTTATTTATCAAACTACTAGGTAAGTTGAACGAGTGTAAGGATTTTCTTTACCCTTTGTATAGTTTTATCTATGTTCTAGACACCTACTTGAAGCCGCTCTAACAGCATGGTCTTGAACTTTTTTTAAACCTTTCATTTAGTTTTTATTTTTGGCTATAAAATTGCACATTTCCTTTTGTTGTATAGATTGCCATTCTTGACAGTGTGAACATGGGTGGTGGCAGAGGTGTTTCCATGCATACAACATTTTGCATTGCCACTAGGAACAGTGTCAAAAAAATTCGCATTTCACAGGACTGCTATTGCATGATTTATCTTGGATTAGAAAATACTTTCTGGATTATCTCTCGATGTGTTTTGTAATAATTGTTCATCGAGCAGGACTGCACTCAGTTCAGTTTGTTATGTTACTGGTGTTACATAACACCTTGCAAATCTAAACTTGGGATGGAGAGTTTTGGCATGTTTCAAATTATACTACCAAGTTGGACAATTTGGTTGGTTCGTGGGCATGTTTATTGTCCTTCGAACTCTAATTTTGAAGCTTAATCTATATGAGAAGTGCCAATGTCAACTTGACTATATTTGTGGTTTGGACGCAGTTTTCAGTACTATATAGCTTATTGAGTTTAATAACATTTGCAGAGTTCTCTTCTTCACCCCTGTGGTTACCTGGAACATAGTACTTAAACGTTGTGTTGTTCCTGGCAGTGTTTGGGCCAACATTATGTAGGCACCATATATTAATTTTACAATTTTCCCTACTACTTGAGCTTAGTTTGGGAGTTGGGACTCCAATATTCTAGGCATTTTTATGTTGATGTAATGGCGTGGAATTTGTCGGTGTTCCATGTATATTTAATTTAGTTGCTTAAAAGTCGGTGGTTTCGATCCGTCCACATCAAGCCTCCGCACATGTTCATTACTAATTCGTCTGCCTTTAAAAGCAAATTGGTAATTAGGGAGTAATTTCTGAATGTTCTAGGCTTAAAAGTGGTTCTGGTAATCTTGAATATTTGCTCTGGATGGCATTCCCTCTATTTTTGGTTCTGACTTGAACTGTGACCGTGCATCTCTGTGGTGATCATGGATTAAATTAGGAACAATGGTTTAATTGGGTTATTCTAGGGAGAAGTGATATCCGTTGGTTGTCATGGCTGCCTGAAAGGGAATTACATCATTTGATTTTAAGATTTAATAGCTTAAGTAGCATTTGGGCTCACTAAAGTGCTTCCTTTTTCTTATCTTTCAGACTTCCACTATGAATTATTTAACACGCATAAAAGAACTTCCCTTGCATGATTTTTTTATTATGAAATCAATATTTATATTGACAAACCTGCTTAGCTTCAGTTGGACAATGATAAGCTGCGGTAAGGCTCTTTCTCATTGAAGGAGGACATTGGTGGATTCTGCACTGCTGTTCTATTACTTAACTTCAGTAGATAATATATTTGCCCATTTGCTTGACATCACATTTTTTATTTTCTCTGTTCCATATGGTGTTCTATTTCTCATTTTAGCTGAACATTTGTCTAATTTATCTGTACCATGATCATTTTCTGAAGATATTCTCCGCAGAGAGATCATCTAAAGCATGGTTAAAAAACAGTAAGTAGCGAAAAAATCATGGTACAGGAGTCAATGGTACGCAGTAGCGAAAACATGGTTAGGAGTTGCATATTATGCTGTTTTGCTATTCCAAAACGTTTTTGAACTGTAGCAGGATGTTTGTTCCTATTTAAACGAGAGCTTTTAGCCATTTATTACCTTTTGTAGCTTCCCTGCTGGTTACATTCTAATAAAACAAAAATAGTCCTTATTGAAATATGCACTCTGTAAACAGTAAGGGGTTCTTATACTGTTTTCTTTAATTCCACATACAATAAAAAGAGTGAGATCAGATGGCAGCATTCTTTGTGAAAAAAATACATCCATATCTGGATGTAGTGGTTGCCTTCATGTTAAAAGTGGGTCACAATTTCCAGTATTGGAATCTAATTCAGTACATGGCAATGAAATTTCATTGAGCTGTGAAAGTGAGGTATCAAAATTAAGGTTGGTTTCTATTCGTTCAGGGTTGACCTTTATCCTTCTCATACAAGTATTTTACTAGGAAATCATGAAAAAGCATGGTGTCTTAAATAGTGGACTACTACCATTTTTGTTTTTGAAACCTTAATTCCTCTCTCAAAATTTGCTACAGGTACACCCATGGTACCTCAGATACATCATGTTCCAGCCGTTGAAAGAAAGTTGCCTTCATTCTGGTGATTCAAACTTTCTGGATCTTGAATGGCTTTCAACTTGAGACAACTCAAGCGATGAAAGGTGTTTACTTTTGCATTGCTATTGCATTTTTTTTTAGCGTTTTCGACTGACAGAATATCATCTTCACAGTGACAGTCAATTTAATTTACACACATTTTCTTTTGCCTTAGTGTAGGAAAAAGTTAAGGATAATTATTAGTTGATTATCCTGTAAATTTCTTACCCTTCATGTTTAATTTCATATCAATCTAAATTCTAGAGTTCTTTTGCTCTCACTGCATTTTCATGTAATAAATACAAATGTAGTCTCGTGTTGTATCACTTGATATAACTATCTGTATTGAGAGGTAAAATGAAAATTATGTTGCCACACTTCCTAAATCCAATTAATAAGTGTCTTCTGAGCTTCCAATATGTTCACTGATACTGATTTGAAGATATCCTCTGAAACATTTTTTTAAAAAAACTCACTAATACCGATGGATTGTGCTTGGACAGGTCCATTGCAATTAATACTCCGGATGTGAACCTTTCAGCGGAGAATGTTATTGCCACAATATGTCTTCTTTTGACTGGTAGATTTGTATGATCAAATATAGTTGTATCATCACCATGGACATTACTCTGATCATTATGTAAAACTTTGATTTTATTTTTTATATGCATTGGTGCTTCATCTTTAGATTGTAAAGTGTAAGAGTTTTGTTCTCAGCAGAATCTGTAAAACAATGTATGGAAAATTACTCATCAACGGCATTCACTGCAAATGTATTCATAGGTTTTTTTTTCTTACATAATCATTGATTCAGCCTGAAAACAAATGATTAGTCTACACTAATCAAGCAATCTATATGCAGGCGGCGCGCCATTGGCGTGCCCCAGCATCTAGTACAAATAACGAGCAGATGTTCCTTAAGAGTATATGTCCCAGAGTTTGCAATAGTTCCCCCTGCTCATACAGCTCTACACATCCGCAGTGGAGCCACCGTGGCGACACCCGGCATGATGCGCCGCCGCTCGACGACGGCGACGGGACGCCGATTCACCTTCTTCGGCGTGTCGATCACCTGGATCACCCTCTGCTTCTTGGCGGACGCGGCCTCCTTGTAGCCGTCCTGGAGCTTGCGCCTCGCTGCCGCAAGCTTCGCGTCGTCCGCGCGTGCCGGCGCCGCCTCGTGCTTGTTCGATGCTGTCTTCCTCGGCGACGGCGCTGGCGCCGGCTTGTGAGCGGCCGCCATGTCCGTCTTCTTGGCGTGATCAGACGCGGAGGCGGTCTTGGTCGGTGCCGGCGCCGGCGGCTTGGAGCTGCTCCTGGTCAAGTGCTCGTCGACGATAGCCTTCCAGTTCTTGTAGAGCGCGGCGGCGAGGCCGCGCACCTTCTCGGAGGAGTGCTTCCTCCTCAGGCCGCTGATGGTCTTGCCGATCCTGCTCGCCTCCAGCGTCTCGAACGTCATCGGCGTCGACCGCAGCGCGCGGAGCAACTCGACCACGGTCTCCTCCGACGAGTCGGAGCTCGGCCTGCCGCCGTCTTCCCCGCCGACGAGCTTGCCCTTGATCCTCTCGACCTCCTCGGCCATGGAAGATTTCTTGGCGCGTCGGAGCTCCTGCTCGTCGCAGAGCCGAAACACGTCCTCGAACGGAATGTCGCGGCCCGCGAGCTCCATGGTGGCGAAGGCGATGGCCTCGTCGAGCTGTTCGGCTCCCATCGAGCGAACCATCTCCCTCACCGCCGCCGCCATTGCCTCTCCGCCGGCCATGGCAAAGCACGCGAGATCGCTCAGATTGGAGCAATGCAGCTTTTGGTGGAATTGGGAATGGTTGGCGCCAAATTTATAGGGAGGAAGAATTGTCTCTTCTTCTCCGATTCGAATTCATGGCGAGCACCGGACTCGGACTCCGACTCCGATTCGGATTACGCTGGAAACACGCACGCAGTCGCGTCCATGAGTTCGAAATCGAATCGGAGAAGGAGTACAAGTATTTCCTCCCGATAAATTTGGCGCCAATTCCTTCTCCGCGCTCATCCAAGAAACAGAGACACGAGTGGAAGCAGAGCTTTTGCTTGGAATCGATCTTTCTTTCGATCTCGCTTCTCGCATCGCGTTCGGGTTGCTGCCATCCATGGCGGGCGACGGCGAGGCGATCCCGGAGGCGTGGAAGGAGCTTGTTCGCTCCCTGGGAACCGAGCAGCTCGTCGGCGCCATCTACGTCGCCCTCGACGACTTCAACGCGCGGGAGCGCGACACGATCCCGCCCGAGCTATGGCGGCGGCTCGGCGACCGCAGCGCCGCCTACAGGAACCCTTTCGTGAGCGATGGAGGATCGAGCTCCGGCTCCGGCTCCGGCGAGGTTGAGAGGATCAAGGTCAAGCTCGTGGCCGTGGGCGGGGAAGACGGCAGCGGCGGCGGCGGCGGCGGCACGAGCGCCGACTCGTCGGAGGATGCCGTGGTCGACTTGCTACGCGACCTGCAGGCCGTGCCGATGACGTTCGAGACGCTGGAGGCGAGCAAGATCAGCAAGACCATCAGCGGCCTGAGGAAGCACTCGTCGTCGGAGAAGGTGCGCCGCCTCGCCGCCGCGCTCTACAAGAGCTGGAAGGCTATCGTCGACGAGCACTTGAGCAGGAGCAGCAGCAAGCCGCCGACGCCGACAAAGACCGCCTCCGCACCCGCCGCGGCTGATCACGCCAAGAAGGCAAACACGGCGGCGGCTGGCCACGTCAAGACGCCAGCGGCGGCGCCGAAGACGGCGGCGTGCAGCAAGCGCAAGGAGGCGCCCGCGCCGCCGGAGATGGACGAGGCGAAGCTGGAGGCGGCGAGGAAGAAGCTGAGGGAGCGTTACACAGAGGAAGAGACGGCGAAGAGGCAGAGGAAGATACAGATCATCAACAACGCGCCGGGGAAGGCGAAGCAGCGCCCCGCCGTCGTCGAGCAGCGGCGGCGCGTGGTCCGGGACACGGTGGTCGCCGTGGCGAGCCGTGCTCCTGTGCGTTCCTCTCTCCGGATGTAGGTGGTGGTGTAGTTTTAGAATGAACATATTATTACTCGGGCACTCAGCTCTCTGTACTGTACATGGTTAATTTATTTCATCAGTTATCTGGAATTTTTCAGAGCAATGTTGGTGGAAATAAAACTATTCAGTTGTACTCCCTCCATACTCATAAAGGAAGTCGTTTATGACAATGTTTAAGTCAAACCTTGGGAATATAAATCATGAATAACTCTTACGTTGTTGAATTTGAAAATATAAAAGTTATATGAAGATGTCTTGAAAAATACTTTCATAAAAATATACATATATCATTTTTCAATAAATATTTTTATAGAAAAAAGAAGTTAAAGTTGTGTTTTGGAGACCGTGTCGCTGTCCTAAACGACTTCTTTTACGAGTACGGAGGGAGTATGTAACAAGTCAGGTTATATGAATTAATAGCAATGCTGATGTAATGAATAAAGTTCAGTTAATGGTCAGGTGGCTACACTACACAACACCATGCATGCGAGAAATAAGTATGGAAAGCTTTATCGCATCCTGTTTCAGAAGCAACTCATGTGTGTATTCAGAAGTTCAGAGAATGTAGTCTTGCGATTTTGATAAAACATGAGCATGTCTATAACTGGTTATTTGGCTACAAGAAGAGTAATTTTACAGTCCTTGAGAGATATCGGGAGGTACCAACATTTTTAGTTTAAGTTATAACACCTCCTCATACCAGAGATACTAAAGTTAGACTAAAAAATATGTACCTCCCGATACCTCCTCAATAACCATAAAATCACTCAACTAAGAACGTGTAAATACGTGGAACTGATAGTCAGAGCCAGAGCTCGAGTGTGTCTACCATTTCTTTTTGGCCATATCATGAGCATGTTCAGGCCTGAACTATTTTGCCATAACCTTGGTATATAATGTATGTCTGCAAGACAGGATGACACATTTGGCAACCTCGTACCAGGGTTCAAAATTTCGAATCGAAATTTCGGAAATTTTGGCCACCCCCGATACAAATGAGCAAACCGAAACATTAAACCCTGCACGGTACTATTCATGAACCTATGGATTTTATGGTATTTTCCCTTAATTTCTACCTTGGAAAGGTTGAGTCTCGGTTATATTTACTCTGATGATAAATTTAGTTTTGTTTCTCCAAATACTTAGAAGCTGGCCTCTCAAAGGCTCTGGGGCGACCTATGTGGTGGTGTAATTATTGAAAGAGGTCTGGAACACAGAGTAATAATAATGTAATGAACAAAATTCAGCTGTATGTATGAATCAGGTGGTGTGAACTGATAGCAGTGCCCATGTAATGAACAAAGTTTATTAAAGTTCAGTTGTATGTGGTTTCCGAAAATGCTCATGGTGGTGGCTATAACGAGCTCACGCGTGTGTTCAGAAATTCAGTGATCGTATGAACGAGCTCATGCCTTGAGAGAATTAATGTACGTATGTTCTGCAAAAAAAAAAAAAAAAAAAAAAAAAGAAAAACTGGGCACAACTGGTTATTAGGCCACAAGCCCACAACCTGGGCATGTATTGGCTCAAATGCTGGGCATATGGCCTGGGCATGGAAGCACATCATTAGCCAACGCTGTGTATGCCATGTCGATGTGTATGGCTATCTTTGTGGACGGCAGGTGCCGAGTAAGACGGCACGCAACAGTAAGCACAATGAAGAATGACACACACGACACCAATATAACATAACATATGGAACATCTCCGAATTAAGCCACTATGCACAGATAATTAACATAAAGTTACGAGCACACGCATTCGGTATAATAACAAGTTAAATTTGCCATTTTGATAAACCAATACGATTAAATGTGGCCCGTACAGAAGCGTATCGGTATTTGGTAACATCAATCAACCTTTTTTGCTTTCACGTTTCGACATGATATAAAACTTCTGTAAGGAGCGAAATTGTTACAAAGAAGCATCAATAGGAAAAAAAAAAGAACAGATGGAAACTAGGTATCCAAAAGTTAGACCAGCTTCATTGAAGCTATCTGGGTAGCAACCTCCATAGCTTCCTTTAGTTGAGAGGCCTCAGTTCCCTGCATTGCATAAATTTACATATTTTATTGTGTGATATAATCACAAATATTTCACCTCGGGTACTTATGTGGAAAATTCAAGATTTGAAGGGTACGATTGCTCACCTGGCCCTGGGCAATTCCATTCTTGCCACCACCTCCCTTTCCTTTGAGGGGCGCAATCGATGGTGTCAACCAATCCAACACCTTCAAGCTGTTAGCAGCGCTGGGAGGCACACCAGCATAAATGACTGCCTTATTCGTGGCTTCATCCGTGCTGAATAGCATGATTGGCAAATCCTGTACAAGACAAACCCAAAAGTTCAACAGCACATCCTACACTTGACAATGGAAATAAATAATCTTAGAAATTCACTCTGTTATAGTAGCACATTTTCCCACTTCAGAGTGGTTGGCACCCTAGCTAACTAGTTATGGACAGCACCTACATCATTGATTTGTTCAGCGCACCTATGAGGAATTCACAACTATAACATTGACATGAGCACCAATTTGTGGTCGACATTTTAGCAAAGTAGTAGTGGATTTTGGCTGGGGAGACATGAAAAAAGGAAACAGTATCTTGCATACAGAGTAGAAAAGAAAATTCTCCTATAAAACAAGGCAAGACGAAGAAAAAGGCATTGAATTCAAGGCTGTCTCTGCTACGCATTGTTAAATAATATAGCATGTGGGGCACATTGTAGGACCATTATTATAATAGGAAGTAGGAAGTTTGCATATAGTTGTCTAATAGATGGCATATCAATTCATTTGGATAAACAGCCCCATCGTTTGGCCTAAACAGCCAAAGAATAAGCCAAAATTTGAATTTTTGAACTTGATTTTGAAGTTGATTTTGAAATGCTTTTAACGTAATTTTTGTTAATGTTGGCTTTTAAGTCGCTACGAACAAATCTACAAAAGTTTTACTTATAAATTAATTTTAATTTTCTAATAAGCCAAATAAGCCATTTTGGGTAAAATGGCAACCGATGGGAGCCAAAGCATGTTCTTGCAACAGTCAGATGAAAACATAAGTCCTGACCTTCTGGTCCTTGACTTTGATAACTGCTTCCCGAATAGCACTTGTGTCAAGACCCACATCTACATGAGCAACACAGAAGCGCTTTCCTTCAGAAAGAGCAGTTTGGGCGGCATCTATTGCAAACTTCACGGCCTTCTGGATGTTCTCCTCGCCCATTTTCTTCTTGGCCTTCCTAAGTTCATCCTACAACATCCAACAGCTGCAATAAGCTCCAAAATCAACCAATAATGGAATACCAAATAGCCGAATACCACATATTGTTCTGTTCTTTCAAGGTAACAGCTCATAAAGAACATGTACAGACCTCCAACTTCGACACCCGGCCTTTAAGATCAGCTTTTCTTGCAGCTGGAATTAAAGCTGTATCAAGCTTGCTCTTGATGGAAGCAATCGTCTGGTAGAAACATCACTTTTAGATGGTGATCCAATATAAAATAGATCAGCAGAAACAACTCCAGTGCAATCAATTTTAACTACCCTTTATCCATATAAAGAGTAGAAAAATAATATTTCTATTGGAGAAGACTTACATCAGAGAATATTTAATGAATATCTAGTGCATTAAGCACCAACAATGCAATTGACAATTGAAAGATACAAACAAGACAAAGGCATATAATACCTTTTCCAATATAGCTCCCTCCAATTTTGATGCTTCATTGATTTCAGAATCAATAGATGATGCATCCTTTATAGCATCAGAGGCATGTTTAGCAGTAACAGCTGTGATCCTCCTAACACCTTTAGCAATACCCTCCTCGGACAACAGGGCAAATGCTTCTGCCTCGCTAGTGTTTTTAATGTGTGTACCTGATACAGTTAAGTTTAATAAACATAACCATGGGAGGTAATACATTCCAGACAGAAGAAAGTATACCGCCACACAGCTCTGTTGAAATGGATAGCCATTCTTTGCTTTCAGGATTGGCAAGTAGATCTTCCACTTTGCGACCAACTGATACAACTCTTACCGGATCAGGATAGATCTACAAATTTCAACATGTGAAATAAATTACAGGAAATAATCAACAGGCAAACTTTGTGTTTCATCATGTTATTTCATGTTTTAGCCGACTAACAAAACTTACTTCACCAAACACAGCTCGTAGACCATTTATGCGCTTCGCATCTGCTAATTTTATTTCACGTGCAAATACTTCCAGTTTGTCTTTTATCTGTTGATTCACTATAGACTCAATTTTCCGCAAATCTTCTGGCTGAACAGGTTTCCCTGTTACAAACAAACAGTTTTGAGTTGCGTGGCTGAGGGAATACATGTGAAGAAGGATAAGATAAGAACCACATAATACCATGGGAGAAATCAAACCGTAGCTTCTCTGGGAGAACAATTGAACCTTTCTGGTCAACATGATCACCAAGTATTTCCTGCATTTAAATGGTGGAATCATCATGAGGGTGGAAGATAAAAGTGCAAATTTTTTCGATAAGCTTAAATTCAACATACCCGTAGAGCAAAGTTCAGCATATGGGTACATGTATGGTTTGGAGCAATGAGAGCACGGCGAGCATAATCAACCTACCAATGGCAACATGAACATTCATATCTGATTAAGCGAATATCAGAGATCAACTAATTTGATGTAGAGATTGTATTACTAAAAGTGTTACCTTGCATGCCACTTTATCACCAACAGACAATGCCTTGGAACCTTTTGTAAATGAGCCCATATGCAGCACATACCCAGCAAATACTTGAACATTAGTTACATTGAAAGATCCGAAAGACCCTTCAATTTTCCCAGTGTCATATATCTGATGCAAGAAAAATCTTGTCATGTTTATAATGTACGGAACAGTGACTAGCATACACTGTGTTGTTTATTATTACTAATGTTCAATTAGAAATTTATTTGGGAAAATATATTGTATATTTGCATGTGCTCTTAACACCACCAAATCACAATAGCTGAAAAATCATTGGAAGATGTACTAGGATGAAATATCAGGCATAAGCAAAAGAATATTGCAGGATTGGGACAGGGTGTACAGGTTGCTGTTAAGTACTACCTCCGTCTTAGAACTTATGGGATTTTGCCCATATAATCCCTCATATTCTCAGACAGAGGTAGTACAAGTGAAGGACTACAGCTGATTGTTAGGACGACATACAGTTAGACTGCTTCAGATTGAAGGGACAAAGTAGAACAAACAAGTGGGGATTAACTACAAGAGGACTACTGCAGCTAATTGGCATGACATACAAATGAAGAAACACTGAAGATTACAACGATAAAGTAAAATAAATAACCCAGGAACCATATTACAACCACATGAGCATTATATAGTCCACAGTAAGAATGTTGTACCTGACCACCCTGTTCAGCGTAGAAGCTTGTACTTTCCAGGACAAGGCCAAAGTCCTCATCGCCAGATGCGGCACTTACATATTCTGAACCAGTGTAGATAGCCTTCACCACACTGTCATTGTCCTGGAAAAATGTTTTTAAGTTTGATAATAATCAGTATCCAAATGTGTTCTATGAGCAACGTAAGAACAGCTAGAGAGTGGCCAAGTAAAATTACTACATTGAATATTATAAGCAACTGCACCTAATAGAAGTGTAATATAGCTAAACCAGAACAAAAAGGAATCTGGCAAGCCAAACTTACCTTATAACCATACTTCGGGCTATCATCTGTACTAGCAAGCCCTTGGTTGCGCAGCTGTGCTGTAGCATTGGCATCCAAGACAATGGAATTTTCCCCAGCCTGCAAAAAGAAATATACATTATAAAAAGGAAAAAAAATAGGTAGCAACTAAATTATTTCTTACAAAATTAAACAGAACCACTGTTATCGAGTCGCCCGACTAGTCATAGATAAAGTCAGTCAATCTAGTCGACTAGAGAACCACGACTCAACCAAATAGAAAGTCGTGCGATTAGTCATGGTTAGTGATAAAATCGGTCATAGATTAGTCGTAGCAAATCACCAATTCACCATGCTAATTGGCTTATTGTGTATTTGTGTTTAGTACTTTAGTTTTATTTCATCTTGACTTATTTTGCTGCTTTGCTACTCCATAGTCCATAGTTTATACTGTATACATTGCTTAGAACAGTAGTATATATTGCATCCCCTGTAGCATGACCAATTCGTGGACTAGTTGTGGACAAGTCGTCGACTAGTCGTGGACTAGTCGACCAAGTCGACGAGTCGGTCCAGGGGTACCTTGACTCGACTTTACAACTTGACAACCATGAGCAGAACGCTGGCCCAATATAATGAAATACCAGCAGCATATCACACTATCAGAGATATCAAACGGAGAAAACGATTCAGGATTAACTTCTACACTTAGTAAGAATAAAAGACAACCTTGAAGCGTGCATTCCTAGCCTTCTGCCTCGCTTCTTCCATTGCAGCATCAAAACCCTCCCGATCCACACTCAAGCCATAGTCAACTCCCATGACCTATGGAATATGAAATAATAAGAAACAGCATAAATAGAACATTGAAGCTTTATAGATCTTTCAGGTCAGAAAAAGGACAGCTAACCTCAGTCAGGTCAACTGGATAGCCATAGGTGTCCCACAGGACAAATGCATCCTGAAATAAACAATGTTTGCAACGTATGAAAGAAAATATCATAAATAAGCTTGAAAAGTTCCAACAGAGAAAGGCAAAGTACGGAAATCCATACAGAACTGCATGTTTATTCTTAAAATAAGGTCAAGAGGAAAAGCACAATTTCTGGAAATTGTGCAAAAACATATCAAAAATAAGCACAACACAGTGACCACAAACTGAGCATAGGAAGAATAAGTCTGGAATCGCTATTTTAAGGGGGGCCATGGTTTACAATACTTCCCCAATATTAGGAAAGCTAGTTAGGGATATTCTAATAGTGAAATATGAAATATCATGCAATTCAGAGAAAAAGAACTTGCCTGTCCACTAAGTACTGTTCCTCCACTCTCTTTAACAGCATCTGCCGCTTTCTTAAATTTTTCAAAACCCTGAAATTTTTTTACCAAGAGCACAAGTAACGTCAGTTGTAACAGTAATGCACCCTGTAGGAACTACCCTTCAATATGACAACGATAACTGGAGACATGGCTGCACAATGGAATTTGAATGGTGCAAACCAAAGCAAATTGAACTGCTGGCACAAAAAGGTCGAACAAATGCTTGTTGAAGTTGATTGTTATCCAACCTATTGCCCATGACAGCAACAATTATCCTAGATAAGGTTATGATCCATGTGTTCCTTTGGAACAAGATTAATCCTGATCACTAAGCAGGTCACATTATTCTATATTTAAATCTTCCAGCTTTTGCACGAGCAAAAACATACTTAACACAAGAACATTACCTGGCCCTAAGGCTATGAAATAAAATATGAGTAACAACGAAATCAGACCCAACTGCATTTATAGTGGTAAGGGGTTATTTGGTCGCCAGCCACACTTTGCCGCCATTACCTTTGCTAGAGTGTTCTCAAAGCTTTCCTCTTCATCTTTAATTATATCTTTGATCTTCTTTTCATTGTCCTTCAGCTCAGGGAATACATCTCCCATCAGTTGGACAAATACATGTACAAGACTGTCCAAGCCAGAAAATTTTAATGTAAGTGATAAATCACATACGTTCATGTAAATATGTTTCTAAAAGTTAAACAGGGTTATTGACCCACTACCTTTCATTATGTATAAGACTAGTATGACCACAAACAAGCAAGTGGTTTGAGTTGTGAATTAAGACCTAAGACCCAGCCCATAAGGAAGTCTGAAATGATTATCTCAATGACTTAATACCAACTAGCTAATTTTAGCAAAAATCATATGATGGAAACACCAATCTTGCCTTATCAACACAACAGATTTATTATGACTCCTATATCATGTTACTAGCACTCCATATATTAAAAAAAAGGCTATGCAAGCATATTGTTCAGCATAAAGGCATGGTACATAATGCAGATAAATCATTGTTCTTACGAGCTAAAAAATCCTTGCTTTGCTTTCAACTTTTGATGACCAAAGTGAACAGCGCGCCTAAGAATACGCCTCAGAACATATTCTCTGCCCTCATTTCCTGAAGAAGTAATCATATTAGAAACAAATAAATATAATTGTGCGACAAAGTGATGGTTGACACTAACAAATACATAGAAAAATATAGAAGTTATGGGTTTGGCAGTTTGGAACTGATGTTCTTTTTAGTACTTCACCATCCTTAGCACAAAGGTTGACCTAGATGGTGTATTGATAACAGGTAGTAGAAATTTTGGCATGTGTTTTGGTTGGATGGATTTGGTGGGTTGGGTTGGGGCCATCCCATTTTTATAGGTAAGGTTGAAGGACTCTCTGGGTTGGGTTGGGTCCGAAAGGGAATATTCTGCATATATCCAGGTTGGTTGATCCATGCAAAAACTGGCGGATTGCGTTGACCCACCTCCGCTGGTGTGCCTCATATGAGCCGCACGCGCGGTAACCATATCCTTTACCCCTGGATTCACCATTCCCCTCTCCCATTTTTCCCCATCCAGATCGAGAGAGCGAGAGGCAACGGTGGCGTGCGCTCGCAGTGGCAGCGGCGACAGCGTGCGCAGGAGCCAGGTCGCCCATAGCCTCCTCCCTCCTTGCATCTCTCTCGCCGGCTGCTCATCCTCATCAAAGCTGGCGACAGCGGAAGGAAGCAAAGCCAGCGGCTGCAACCTACGGCAGCGCCCGAGGCCTCCTCCCTCCTCACATCCTCTGTCTCCTCGGCTGAGTTGCAGATTGATCCAAAACGATAAGATTTTTTGAGTGGCTCTGCAGTGATATTGCAGGCGGCAATGTTACAGCAATCCAACAGCTCGAAAGTTCAAGCCCCATGATTCCATTGTTTGATTTGTTTATGTAGATTTGTGATTTCCTCCCAGAGCAAGAGCAGCAAGGAGCAGGACTCGTTTTCCTCAAAAATTTGTGTGCTTTGTATGTTTTGATGAGTTAATCATGACAAATTTGGTTCATGGTTTACTTCTGTCGATAGTCTTTATAAATAGTTTCATATATGCATGGCTTTTAAAAAAAAAATGCACTATATTTTTTCCTATATGTTTAACATGTATTTGATCTGTATACAAGAGAGGTAACCTCATGAACTTTACATGAGGTATCTCTATCAACTATCTCTTCTCCATCCCTCTAACCAAACAAGTAATAGGACCATTCCATCCCCTTCTATCCCTCAAACCAAACAAAAAACAGGGCTAAACTCCATCCTTTCAAACAGAAAATAGGACCACCCTATCCCAAAAATCTGGGATGGACCTAACCCATCCCACCTCATCCCTAAACCAAACACATATGCTTGAAGAATATCATAGTTTAGAATGCAAGGGAGCAAGATGTTTATTCCTCAACAAGCCATTTGCGTGCATGTGTTTGGTTTGGGGACGAGGTGGGATGGGTTGGACTCTTCCCTATTTTTGGGATGGGATGGTCCCATCTATCTGTTTGGCATGAGGGATGGGATGGTCCTACTTTTTAAGGGATGGCCCACATGTCAGCGAGAAAAAAGTGGGTTGGATTGGTCCGCAGTTTTTGAGGGACCATCTATCTGTTTGGCACGAGGGATGGAATGGTCCTACTATTTAAGGGATGGCCCACGCCCACATGTCAGTGAGAGAAAAAAGTGGGTTGGATTGGATCTTAGGGGAATATTCCCTATCAGGGTCCATCCCATCCCACCTGTCCCCAAACCAAACATCCTGAAAAATGGGTTCAACACAACCCGACCTATCCCGACCCTTGAATCAAACACATGCTAAACAGTACACACTTACCAGGTTGAGAACCATCAGCAATAGCAAACGAAAGGGTTCTTATGTGATCTGCAACTACTCTGTAAGCCATATCAACTTTGTCAACATCTTCAGGACCTACTTTACCCGAGTATGATTGAATTCCATTGCCAGCCAACTGCAATTATATATACGGATATCAAATCATTAACATATATCATGTACCTAAGAATAATTAATAAGTAAATCAAATATAATTTAGATGAGAAGAGCATGAAAGCAACTTCAAGTGTGCATAGTCAACCTACTTGGTGGATGGCATCAAATATTGGCATGAATACATCTGTGTCATAATTGCTCATTTTATTCTGAAGGATAGAAGTTAAGCGTTCAAATCCCATTCCTGTGTCAACATGTTTTGCTGGTAAAGGTCTCAGAGTACAATCTGCTTCCCTATTGAACTAAGATAAAATAGAATAAAGTATGTGTCAGTATATGAAAATAAAAAAGAGAAGATTTAAGACATCATGTACAAATATAACAGAATAATTGCTGACAATGTAAAGCTTTCCCATCCACAAAAAGGGCAATAATAAAAAGTAGCATGCTAACCTGAATGAACACAAGATTCCATATCTCAATACAAGTGGGGTCATCATTGTTCACTAGGGAAGCAGCATCACGGTTGCCAACACGATCAAAATGAATTTCAGTACATGGCCCACAAGGACCAGTATCACCCATCTCCCAGAAATTATCCTGTTGAAGTTAAAAAGGTTTGCTAATAAGCAAATAATGAAGTGGCATTAAGATGATGGCAATGATCAATCGAAAGACAATATGGCCCAACAGAAATTAACACATATGTAAGTGTATAGGTTGTTATGATCTACACTGCCAAGAGCTTTCACCAATTACAAGAACTAACCTTGCAACCGAAAGGTAGAACTTTTTCTTTGGGTAGGTATTTCAACCATATGTTCTTCGACTCCGTATCAGGAGCAAGTCCAAATTTCTCATCACCACCAAAGTAAGTCGCATAAATTCTATCGGTAGGCAATTTGTACACCTGCATTTAGCAACCAGTAAGAAGGCCGCTTATATTTATTTACATAGATATATGATTACTTTCAGAGTGTTCTTAGTCCAAAGCCTTATATCATTAAAAATGATACGACATGCAGTACTCAGACCAGTACAAGACTCCCAACAAATGGATTTTTACTGCCTAGGTAGTACCTTAGACTACTACACAATTTTATATGCACGGTCAACAACCAAACAGCATAACCAAACCTTATCACTCAATGTACCTTCCTCAATCCTTTGAATTTGCATTTTCAAGTTCAAATCGTAGGTCATTAGACCATTGCGTAATCATGAAGTAACAACACTACAAGAAGATTTACGAATCCAAAACATCAGTAGACAGGTAAGCTTTACAGGGCACAGGCAGATTCCATCAGACTTGCAAAATCAGGCATATACATTCCACAAATTTACAAAGTAACAGTTCTGTTTTTCAGATGGAAGCTTCCCAGGAGAAGCTGACCCCAAGAAACTTGATCTATGAAACACAACAAGAACCGGTGCTACTGCCCAAATTGAAGTTATACGTGCAAATGCATCAAAGTTTATGTAATGATGCCATCAAACAATCCAAACTTTCATCACAGGACATGCCAAATTGGTACACTTCCTAAATTCCAATCACTCACAAATAATACAATCTTTCATTTCACAACAAACACAGACAACAGAACTGCTTAATTAATTTCTGTCATGCCATCCCAAAAACCCAGGGCAACACCGCTAAACCCCAGGTCAGCGCATATGCCAATTCTCCTCACTGGAGAACCTCTAAATCTGCTGCTCGATACAGTTACATGCCAACCCAACCAAACTCATGATTCCAAATAGAATCGAATCAGATTCGCACAGCCCATTAGCATCCGCACGAGAACAAACAGGGGATCTATGAGAGAGAGAGTAGGATCCGATACCTGGGTGAGGAGCTCCCAGGCAAATCCGATGGCCTCCTCCTTGAAGTAGTCCCCGAAGGACCAGTTCCCGAGCATCTCGAAGAAGGTGTGGTGGTAGGTGTCCTTCCCGACGTCGTCGAGGTCGTTGTGCTTCCCCCCGGCGCGGATGCACTTCTGGGTGTTGCAGGCGCGGCGGAGGCGGCCCAGCGGCGCGTCCGGGGCGGCGGTGCCGAGGAAGACCGGCTTGAACTGGTTCATCCCGGCGTTGGCGAACAGCAGCGTGGGGTCGTCGACGGGGACGACGGGGCTGGACGGCCACCGCGTGTGGGACTTGGACTCGAAGAAGGAGATGAAGGTCTCCCGCACTCGGCTCGCCGGCCACTCCGTCGAGGCCGCCATCGCCGGTGGCGCGGGGGCGGATGCGGCGGCGGAGGAGGAGGAGGTGAGGTAGATGGCGGCGGGCAAAACCCTAGTCGCGGGCGGGTGGGAGGAGGAGGAGAGCCGGAGGAGGCAGCACGCGCGGCGTACCACGAGCATGTGACTTAGGGCGGATTGAGCACGGGGGAGGATAATTTAACGCTGATTTTGGAGAAGAACCTTTTTTTTTTCTTTTTGTGCCTACGATATTTTTCTTTTTCTTGTCTAAAAATAATGGCAACTTGACTGCCACGAAACCGAAACTTTGGAAACTGATACCCAAGTTTCTAGCAGGCTGACCAACTGAAATTTTCAAACAAAACTAGTCAGGGCTCCTTTGAATCACAGCAACAAAAACACAGGAGAAGGGTAAAAATATAGAATTCTAATAGAAATATAATAAGTGTAAAACAAATAATTAAAAAAACATAACAATAACCGTTTAATTAGGCCACAGAAAAACACAAAAATCTAAGGAGAGATAAAGACTCAAAGATTTTTTACATGACGTTCTACCTCATGTTAATTTTCCTAAAAAAAAACTGCATGGTAAGATGTAGAGAAAATTCCCTATATACCCCTGAAAATTTACTCAATCCCTTTAATACCCTTGAATTTGACATCATCCCTTATATACCCCTGAGTTTTCATTTTGATCTCCTTTATACCCATCTCCGTTAGTTGACCATTAGTTGACCGTTAAATATTTTAAAATGACTATATTACCCATCCTATACATATGTGGTACCTACCCAATAAATTTTCATATGAAAAAATTAACTTATACAAAATACAAGCAATATAATCATTTAATACCCGACTTAAAAAATAAAACTTATTATTTTTTATTTTTTAAAAATTATGATTAAATCCATACATTAGTTTCACCAGAAAATTAAGAGCAAAAACTAAATGTTATTTAGGTTTAAATTTTTGGGAAGATATACGAAATTCATCAAATTTGATCTGAAATTTATTTAAAAATTTTAAATTTGTTTTCTAATTTGTGATAAACTAATTACATCCCCTTTGTTTTTTCACAACGAATCTTTTTCACTAAATATTTGTTGAAAAGTAATTTTCAAATTTTATGCAGAACTTTTTTTACAATAAATCTTTTTTTATTTTAATGAAATAATGTTTTATTTTTAAAAATTCATAACAAATATTTAGTAATTTATTCCTTATTAGTTTTCACAACTCAAATGATTTACACATAAAACATCTTTAGCTTTTAACAATATACCAAGGACAATAAAGTAATTTCTACAATAACTAACAGTCAAACTAATAGTCAACTAATGGAATGGATATGTGAGGGATCCAAATAAAAACTCAGGGGTATATAAGAGATCAAACAAATTTCAGGGGCGTAGAAGGGATTGGGTGAAATTACATGGGCATGTAGGGAATTGGCTTATTCCATAGCAATTTCAATTCCATAGGATTCCATATAATTAATTCCTTTGATTTAAAGGGCTATACAGAAAAATTCCTATAGAAATAAAAACCTATAAATTTCCTATAAACTTTCAGCTCAGTGAAATCCCTACAAAAACTAGGTGGTTCACCGTGCTTTGCTGCGGAAATTACTAAGTAACTTTTAAAATTTTTTAATAGTCGAGCTAAAAGTAAAAATTATATTAGTTATTAACAACAAATAAAAATGGTTTGTTAAACTATGTTCAGAGATAAATATATTTAGTAGACTTTGTATGAGATTGTAGATGAAATATAATATCTTGCACTTTTGATTGTATGGATGAATATATGCTAAGCATTATAAAAATGATGGATATATATGTGTTAAAAATGTTGTGAAAAATAATGTGAAGGAAGATGATTGGATGTTGATTGGTAGAATTCAATGAATTATAGTTGCTTGCATAAATTTTTTTTGTAATTATTGCTAGTGGGATGATGAGGTGACATGTTTGCATGTTGAGCTTTAGAATTAGTGGATTATACTTTTATATAGTAAGATAGGATAAGATACCAAGCCATTGGTAGTAGTGATACATCGTGTCGTTTGTTTCCATCACGTTGCTACTTCCTATTGCTATCTTTCACCATTAATCCCCCTCCCAAACTGTATTGTTTCATGTTTGTTGCTTCATGTTAAAAAAAAGTAAAAAAGAGAGAGAGAGGTTGTAAAAAAGGAGTTGTGAAGAAATCAAAAATATATATATATAAAAAAGACGAAGAAGGACAAGAATATTTTGACACAAGAAAGTTGTATGTTTTGGGTGGCGTTATGGTAATCGTCCTTCTATCTTTTGATGCTTTGGATAGCAGCGTTCGCACCATTCTTTGCGTGGTTTACGTCTCTTTGTATGAGTACCACAACCCTCATTTGATCAGCCCACCTAGCTCCACATAAACCGAAGTTGGTCTTTCGATTCGCATCCTTTCAATCACATAATCACATTTGGTTACTGCCACACTTTGCACGCTCTCACAGTTCTTGAGATCGCATAAGAACATTGGTGAGTAAAAGGTAAGATTATGTGATTAACCAATTTACCTATTCCACTATATTTTTTTAGCTAACATGGTAGGTTCTCAATTGAGTGTCCATGGTGAAAATCATGACGAACCCGATGCCCTTGTCACAGGGGCAGAGGTGCAGTAAATGGGGAATAATTGCATGCAACCTTGGCAGGTATAAAGCTAGGCACCCTCTTACTGCTCGTGATAAACCCTAAGCTCCACTCGATACACTCACGGCTATGATTGGCCCAATCATTCGGTGAGTTGATGATAACTATGATTTGGAAGAAACATTAACGACCCGACTACAACCGTACGAGATGTTGTTGTGTCGCGCCTTAGAGATCGGTACACCTCTCCGTGGGCAATTGATCTTGCCGGTGTAGATCAACCTTATTCCTGCAAGCAAATCGAAGAAACAAGCAATAAAAAGATAAAAGCAATCTGAATTGCAAATAGGAATTGAATATAAATAAAAAGTTGGGGTTACGTAACAAGCAAATCGGCGATCTAACCGATCACGAGATTACACGGCAAAGTAGCGAAACTAAACTTTAATCTAAACAAAACCAAAGAAACCCTGAAAAAGTCCCTAGCTATTTAACGAGGTGGGAGGACGTCCAAGGGGTCCCTAGGGTCCTGCTCCACTTGGTTAGGGCGCACCTCACATGGGCCCCATTTGGGTTGGGGTCCCAAATGAAGTTAGAAGCCTATAGGTCCATTATAGGTGACGTAGTACCTTGTTTCTATGATTGCGGTCAATTCAGATGGAATTTGGAGATGAGGCTGGATCCTTTGGAAAGAGAACTCTGAGATCTTTCCATCAAGTACTATGATTGCGGTCAATTCAGATGGAATTTGGAGAAGAGGCTAGATCCTTTGGAAAGAGAACTCTGATCTTTCCATCAAGTACTCACAGGCCAAAAACAGATCTCGTATGCAAATTTTGTGGGCGTTTGAAGTCAGCAATACAACAGGTGGCCGAATCGAATCCTAACACTTGGAGGATTTGATCGTGATGGCTTCTTGTTGATCCATGATGTGAGCAACGGTTGTATCCATAATAGTTATGGTCACATCATCTTCCCGTTCTTCATGGAAAACCGTCCTCAGTTTTTCCATATTGTGTTCATCGTGTAGTGCATGATCTTGCCCAGAGAAGTGTCTACAAGAAAACAAATGCAACAAACTATCGTTATGTAATTAGAAATAGGTAGAGTGAGGAGAAGCTCTGGAGGGAGGCTCCCAGAGCTTCTACTATAAAGTAAGCATTCGAGAGGCGAGATCATTTCTATTTGTTATTTAATTACTTGGTCTAAGTGAGATATATTTCCATCTTTGTGGGTTCATTGTTTAGTATTCATACTAAGTCTTCTAGTACTAGGACTTTAGATAAAGAAGGAAGTTCCTACGCAAGTATTAGAGTAGTAACTAAAAACTTATGCGTGGTGTCTAGGTTAGAGATTACATTTGTTTGTTGTATATCCTACGGATTTGTCAGAAGTAGGCGGTAGGTGGTGCTAGCCCTGAATCTCGTCCTAGTAATCCTCCATGTTCGGATACATCATAGAGCTATAGCCGGAACCACGCTGGCAAACTAGCAGGGGTCGGTGCTCGAAGCAACATGTAGGAAATTACCTTTACTTAGCTTAGATAATTTAAACACATAGAAAGTCCTCTCTAGACTAGCCTGCCTACCAATAGTTGTTGTTCTTGGATTGTTTTAGCCTTTGGTAGATTACACGCGTTTCCTGAGTTCGATATCCTTTTGGGGTCACCCGAAGGTGAAGTGCTATAGCGGTATTCCGTGCACTTGCAGATTTATCTGTGGTCATAAGAAATACCAAAAGTTGGATGTATCGATGCCTTGGCAAACACTTTCCATATAATTGCAATCAAATATGTGGGGCTCTAGGTAGGCTTAAATATGTAGCAAAGGAATAGCAAATGCTCAAATCAAATAATGCAACGTTGAATAATCGTTCAAAATCAGTATCGTGCTAGTCCTAGGCTAGAATATACTAGAGACGTGAGACTAGACACAAATGGTACCACAAGATATCACTAGAAACAATTCAAGCACAATTCAAAGATAACAGATGTTTTTTTCCCTTTTCTTCCTCCTCCTCCTCCTCCTCCTCCTTCTTCTTCTTCTTCTTCTTCTGCTCTTTTCTTTTTTTTTGGTGCGGCTTTGTTTTGCTATTTTTAAGCACATTTCTACCTTTTCTCTTTTTCACTTTTCTTTAGCACAAATCGACTCAAGGACCTCAATGCAAGATTACAGGGACTCAAATGTAATTATGAAAATTATAGGGACTCAAATGCAAAAGCGCAAACCCTAAAACTAAAGTTATATTAAAAAAAAGGAATTTTGAAGTTATGCGGTTTCTATTTTTGCAAACGAATCTCAAAACCGACGTAACACAAAATTTCATAAGGTGTTTGACCAGACACAGCTTAGGAAGAATCGGACTTAGGGTGTGTTAGTTCACGCCAAAATTGAAAGTTTGATTGAAATTGGAACGATGTGACGGAAAAGTTGAAAGTTTGTGTGTGTAGGAAAGTTTTGATGTGATGGAAAAGTTGGAAGTTTGAAGAAAAAGTTGGGAACTAAACCAGGCCTTATGGAGAGGAGTTGGTAGGTT